GTCGTCGCTGAAGGAGATGAAGGTGCGGGAACACTTCCCGGCAGAAGCCGGAGCCGGGGCTGGAGCTGCTTCGGCCTGCTGCGGGTCTTGGTCCAACCTGGAAGAGCCACAATCAGCACCCAGGAGACCCCTGGGGCGGGGGGAAACGCCAGGGGAGCTCCCATGGCGGGCAGAGCTGCCAAATCTGCTCGAGCCACCCCCCAGGACTGGAGCGCGTGGCCTGGGGGGCTCCAAGGTGCTGCCCAAAACCCGCTTCTCCCTCACCACGATGGAACAGAGCCTGGGGGGAGGGATCAGGAGCGGGAGCCGGGGTCCGGCTGAGTGCGGTGGGGGGGGAAAAACCCACTGGGGCCATGTCAAGGTGACCCCAACCTACCCCTCCACGTCCACGTTCTCCTCCTTGCCCGGCTCCGGGACAAGGGGCATGGTGACGGACCAGTACCGGATAACTGGCCCCACGCACTTCCGCTTCTTCTGGACCTGCTTCTTCTTGTCGGCTTCCAGGCGCTCGTAGTTCTCTGGGAAAGCAGGGACAAACCGAGGGGGAGGCTCAGTGCCTCAGCGACACCCTCACCCTCCATCCCTGCGCCATTTCGGGGGTCCCTGCGCCCCTTGGCGTGGCGCCCAGCTCACCCAGGGAGCGGAGGTTGATCTCCTCCGTGATCTTGGCCTCCTCCAGCAGCTCCTCCTGCGTCAGTGGCCGGTCGTAGTTGGGGCCGCCCTTCTTACGCTTGGACTGGACCTGCCGCTCCTGGATGCGCAGGAAGGTTTGGCGCGTGTGCTCCGTCGTCGACTGCCGCATGTGCTTCCGGCCTGCGGCGGGAGGACGGGGCTCACCGGCAGGCACTGGCCGGCCCGGCTCACTGGGAGCTCTCCCGGAGCGGGCCCGTTTGCAGCCCGTCCCATCCCGTGCACACTCACTGTCTCCCACATCATCCTGGAGCTCCAAGGGGATGGATTTCACCTCTCGTGGCTTCTGGGAGCTGCCGCTGGGGACGTCCGTCTTCTTGGGGCGAAGGGTCTTGAGGGGCTCCTACGGGATTGGGGCAGAGGACGTGAGGAGGGAGAAAAACTCGCCACGGCTTTGGCCTCGTTTAAACCTCGGCTCTTCCTAACGGGGAGCCTGTCTCCTGCCCGCGGTGCTGGGAAGGGGACCCAGGAGCCCCCAGCCCGGTCCCTGGCCGCCCGCCCGCACCCGGTAGGCCTTGGTGACGACGCGGCGGCGGCGCTTGGGCTCGCTCTCGTCCTGGTCGCTGGCGGGTTCCTCGCCCTCGTCGATGTCGAAGTCCGAGTCCACCTCGTCGTCGCTGTCCGACTGGTCGCCCCTGTACTCGTCATCGCCCGACTCCTGCGGGGACAGA